TCCTCTCTGTAAAAAATCAATTATATATATATATATATATATATATATATATATATATATATATATGAAAATGGCACAACTAAAAGAAGTTCAAAAATGAAAAAATAAGACAAAACAAAACAAAAAATTAAAAAAAAAACAATAAATTTTAAAAAAGTGGTTATTAACCAAGTAAAAAGTTGCAAATGTTATGTATGGTAGGCTAGAAAGTATCTGCAACATCTGAAGACTTAAAATTTGTTGGCAATTTTATGAAGTAATTTTAGTGAAATTTTGGAAATAAAAATAAAAAACCCCCAGTAGATTTAGAAATGAATGAATGCAGATGCACATTGTTCTGAAAAATGAAAGAATTTATATTTTTCTGACCCTTTCAACAGAGCTAGAGTTTAATCTTGAGCTTTGTTTTCCAATACTTCAATCGTTTTGGAATATCTTAGGCAGCTTTTCTCTTAGTGTCATTCTCATTTCAAGTGTGCTTTCAATTTTTAAGTTATTAATTCTTGCACATTCTTATTTCTTTATGTTGTTCATTCTATTCCATAAATGAGTGAGTTCATGTGTTACTTATCTTTCTCCGACTGGCTTTTTTCACTTAGCCTAATGCCCTCCGGGTCCATCCACATGGTTGCAAATGGAAATGAAAACTGCATTTGAGAAAGAATAAGAATCTTATGAATCTCTGACTGAAATAGACATGAAGTAGAAGGGAGTAGTAAAAGGAATCAATTGCTTTGGAGATAAGGAGCTAAAGGCTGAAAAAAAAAACAACCCCACAAAAAAGAGATAAAAGGGCTCTTTTGTTTCTATGAATGAATTGTCCATGTTCTTAGCTAAAGCCAACAGCTCTTTAGTTTGTGTCCCAGATCCCTGTGGGGTGTATAGGTACTTCCCTACCAGGAACTGGACCTTTATGGACACCGGGTATTAGATATGAGTAGTTGTAGGCATGTAAGAGAGTTTATTGTAGATTATGTAGCCATAGCTAACAAGGAACCATCACATAAAGCAGTCCTTACAACATAGCCAGACAAAGTAGCAGCCCTTACTAATACAGTAGCAAACACAGGAGCCATATCAAGCAGCCATTCACTGGCTGGTCAATAACATACTTTTATATTAACGTAGACAAAAAGAGGCTTCTTGCCAAATAGTGACATCAATCTTTCGGTTATAGAAGGGCACACCTGTGTAGTGTAGTAAGATTGCTGTATCCTTGCTTTTGTACCTGTGTCTGGTAAACTGACCTTGGCCTCAAACATATGGTGTCCTCTAGATAGGGCCCCCACATTCAAATTGGCCTTGAACATGTGGCCTACTCTGAATAGGGTTCCCACAATCTCACACTGGCTAGCCTAACTTCAAAACATGTTTTCAGCATTCTGCTCTCTGGCACCACCAATTCTTTCCTATGTACTGGATTGGCCTAACCAGCACACAAATGTGGCATTATTACTCTTATCTTAAAACAATAACATCACACACACACACACACACACACACACACACACACACACCTTACATTGTTTTTCTCTTTTCCTTTTATAGAACTGTTTATTATTGACTTTATTGAAAAGAACTGTTTATACTTATTGCCTTCAATTTCTCTCCTAAAACCAACCAAAAGGAGACAGTGCTTACAACTCTTTTCAATGTCACCAATAATCTCCATACTTAAAATCAAATGTCATTTCTCAGTCCTCATCTTACCTGACTTTCCAGAAGTATGTGACCGGTTGATCTAGTCCCTTCAATTTTTATGTGATTTCCAGGACCCTCCCCTTTGCCAGATCTCTGTTTTGTTTTTTTTCTGATACCCTTTTAGCTACCCACTTAGTCTTTGCTGACTCTTCCTCTTCTGTCAGACTTCTAAATGCTGAAGTATTCCAGAGCTCAGGCATTTTCCCTTTTCTATGTACACAATGCTCATATCTTCAGTGATCTCATCAAGTCTCGTAGCTTTAAATGTTAGCTACATATATACTGATGATTGTCAAGTTTTTCTTTGGAGTCTAGACCTCCTCCAACTTCAGAACCTGATTATCAAGTTGCCTATTTGACTTCTCTTCATGAATATCTTATACAAAATCTCCAAAATTGAGCTCCTAAAATTCCCTCCCAAACCTGCTTAGTTTACCCATCTAAGTTAATTCCATCCCTTTATTCTCTTAGGTGCGTGTTTGGCAAACTGCGGCTTGTGAGCTACATGCGACTCTTTGGCCCCTTGAGTGTGGCTCTTCCACAAAATACCACGGCCTGGGCAAGTCTATTTTGAAGAAGCGGTGTTAGAAGAAGTTTGAGTTTAAAAAATTTGGCTCTCAAAAGAAATTTCAATCGTTGTACTGTTGATATTTGGCTCTGTTGACTGAGTTTGCCGACCACTGTCTTAGGCCAAAATCTTGGAGTTGTCTTTGACTGCTTTTTTTCTCCCTTCTTAGAGCTTATCTGGTCTTTCAGGGAAACCCTGTTTTCTTTACCTTCAAAATATATCTAGAATTCTATTCTTCTCACTACTCCCCATTCCCATTATCTTTGAAACCCACTCCTGTGAGTTTTTGACCACTGATTCCACCAAAAATACTCTTGTCAAAGTCACTAGTGATGTTCTTTAAGTCACCATCTCTCACTTGAATTATTCAGGAGCCTAACTCTTCTCTTACTTTAACCCCTGCTCCCTTCACTTTATTCTCAACATAACAGGGATCTTATATACATAAAAAAAAAAGTCAGATCATATCATTCTGCTTAAAATCCTTCCAATGCTTTCCCATCTCACTCAGAGTAATAGTTAAAGTGCTCACTTTGACCTCTAAGATCCTACAAGATCTAGTTCCTTGGTGATCAAATATGAGCCTCACACAAGTAGCACAGCCATTACCTGGAAGCTCATTAAATGAAGAACCTCTCATACTAACTCAATTTTCTGACTCCAGAACCTACATTTTAATAAGCTCTGTAGGCAATTCATATGTACATTACAGATTGAGAAATACTGATGTAGTCTTCAATTACTCCTCTTTCTCTCACATACTCTGCTCCAGCGACACTGGCCTTTTGGCTATTTCTAAAAGGTAGGAACATATCTACCTTTGGCAGTCATTCTTCCCTCTACTCTAGAATGACTACAGGCTAGTTACATTCCTTCCTTCAGGCCTTTACTAAAATAATTTTTCTCATTAAAGCCATTCTGGGCCATCTTATCTAAAACTGTATCTATAGTTCTTTTAATACATAGCTAGTATCATCTTTAATCTATAGTTATTTTAATCTATACTTCTTATCAACATAGTACATATTTTACTTATTTATCCTGTTTTCTTGGTCTGAGTTCGCTGGTAGGATTTGAGCTCTACAGGGGCTGGGATTTATGTCTGTTTTGATCATTGCTTACTATGGTACCTAGAACAGTGTCTGGTATATAGTAAACACTCAGAAAAGTTATTATTGAATGAATTGGATATAGCAATAGGCAGACTTTAGCAAAATATTAAAGAACAAGACTGAATATAGTAAAGTGAGAGACAGATATTAATGAGGTACAAAATAAATTTGAAAGAAACAGAATTACAAAGTATACTCTATTTTAAAGAACTCTAGCCAATATTAAAATAATTCATTTTGGGGATTAGCTAACACTTCAACCTATTAGTGAATATATTTCTTCTTTGGCAAATAAATTGTAAATAGAAAACATAAAAATTCAAGTGTAACAGATTTTTATGGGTTTCAAGCGTAGCTCTTTTTAAAAAAGTTAATTAAAAAATTCCATCACCTTTGAAACCCATTAAGTTCTCTCCATTCTACATCTTAAGTCTCTCCTAGCTTTCTTTGCCTATGTTCAGAGGCCTTTCTTTTTCTTTGTTATGGCCTTCTACAATTTATGAGAAGCACCTGGTAGTTAAACCCTCAAGCTTGTTGGTTTCTCTGATTCAAACAGCTCCTCTGTTCAAACTTTGGGACAAGATAACCTACTCTAAGTTACATTATGGCATCCCCCTCCTCCTTGCTGTTTTAACATCTCAGGAATAGCTCTCACCAAGGAGTCTCTACTTAGTAGAAAGTTCAAATAAGATTCTTTTAATAACTTTTGCTCTGAGCATGTTTTACTGGGAAAAATACTGATAAGACACCTCCTTAGGACATCTGCTGGATCATCTCCTGGAAAGCATACAAACTAACTTTTTAAGATAACCCCTGGTATCTCTCACCTTCAACACAATCCCCCTTCTTTTCTTGTCACTTAGCAACTTCAATTGCTTGCTCTTTAAAAGCAGAAGCCCCTCTAGGTGTACAGAGAAAGGCTAATAGGTGGTAAGTGATTTGAGAATGACTAGCAATACATTGGCCCTTTCCTCTTTTGGAAAGTAAAATAAATTTCATCTCTGCAGCTCTTCTTTTAGTTGTGAATTTCTTCACAGCTCCCATCACTGTCACTGGCTAAAGCTTAACACCCTCTATGCCCTCTTTCACCTCCATCCCTCTCCCGCCATTTCTGTAATCACCACTCTTCTGCCCAAGTCCATAGTTCTCTAACCCTTTTTTATATGCCTTTACTTATCTGTGCAAACATAGTAAAGTAATGATATAGGAGAATAAATAAGAAGTTAGCTATAGCTCCTAGGCACCTTGAAGAAAGAACCATATTTTCAAAAATCTGATCTTAATAAGTCAGATCTTTGGGGGAAAATTGTCTTGATATCTGTGGCAATTCAAACAGAAAATGCATTTCATTTTCAGAGGTAATCCTGCTATAGATATTTCCTTAAAGCTGACTATGTAATTCTCTTAATCATGAGTTGCTGATGTTTGTTAGACCCTACACACTACTGTTCACAGGAGCCAGAGCACTGCAAGTGACAGCTAAATGGAAATTATAACAGTTCTCTCTTTACCTACCTTCTGTTCTTATGATATAAACTGCTTCCTGAGCTCCTATATTTTGTCAGAAACTTTGTTTTGAAGCCTAGGCAGAGGCATAGTGTCCCAATGCAGCTGCTTACCGGGCTGTAGCCAGATCACTATTCTCCTTGGAGCCATCTTCCTCTGCATAAAGGGGAGGCAGGGTGGAACCAGTCATCAAAGTTTCCATCTCTCTAAAAGAAAGAATAAAAAATAATGGCTTAATTACTTTCAGTGCAAGTTTCACTAATTTAAGAGCAAGACTTCCTTAACTTTATCACGTCAGCAGCAGAATAGAAACTGACCTGATTATTTATCTTGATACAGACACATCAATTTAAACTCTGGTTAAAGAATGAGCTTTCAGTGGACAGAGCCTCAGCCTGCAGACTGACGGAAACCCAGGTTGAATTCTGGTCAAGGGCACCTGCTTGGTTTTCAGGCTTGATCCCCAGTCGGGGGGGTGCAGTAGGCAGCTGATCAATGATTCTCTCTCATCACTGATGTTATTATCTCTCTCTCCCTCTTTCTTCCTCTCTGAAATCAATAAAAATATGTTAAAAAACAAAAACAAAAAAAACGGGCTTTCAATCCTGGTCTTAATTAACTGAACAGACTTAAAATAGTTAGATTTTTTTTTTACAACCTAGTCACAGTATGGAAAATTCCTTTTTTGTTTATTCAGAATATCTTTAAAAGTATTCTTCATTTCCTGTAGAAATTGTTAAGCAGTACTGCAACACTGAGCAAGTTATTCAACCTCTTTGAGATTCAATCTAATTATCTTGGACAAAATTACTGACCTACGCACAGGATTATTGTAAAGGATTAAACTGAAAGTACTTTCTAAACAGAGAAAGGCTAATAGATGGTAAGTGATTTGAGAATAATAATAAAAGGGTAATATGCTAACTAGACCGGATGTCCTTCTGGATGAAGTGGGGACTTCGAGGGCATCTCAGGTCCCAGGTGCCTGCTGGTGGCCAGAGGGAAGCTGGTGTCAGGGAAGGAAGGTGTACTCTTGCACAATTTTCGTGCATCAGGCCTCTAGTAGTTATTATATAAAGAAAGGTATTGTTATTATAGCATTACCAACTTAGTTCCAAATGAATTATCCTTAGATTAAATTATGACAAACAGCCCTCTAATGAAGCATAATAACATCCATCTTGTATAAAAAACTACTGTTTGAAACTCTCTGCTATTGTTAGATAGTCCCTAGTCCTGTAAACTCTGTCATTATAAACTCTGTCCCTTTAAGACAGTTGTTATTCTGTAAAATGACTTTTTTAGTTCAAATAATACAAAAAGATAAACTTAACTGACCTTGCAAGCTAGCCATCCAATTTAATAGACTAATACTGATAACAATTCCTATACTCTTTATCTAAGGCTGGGCGCTCTGGGGAAGTACAAACTCACTATGTTTTCAAGGTTACAACTGTCTGAACAATAACTCACACAGAGCCCTTTGGAATATTGGCAAACTAAGAGGCTCAAAAAGTATAAATATAGGAGACTTCCTGTATGTGATGCTCAGATAATTGGAAGAGACACTGCCCTCTGGGCCGCTCGCAATAAACAACCCATAATACAACTCCTACTTAATTAGCTTATTAAGGCATCTGGTATCTCATTTGCTGATTTATGATACAACATTTGGAGGCCCCAGCGAGATAAGGAACAAATGTCTGCCTGTACCTGGTCTCTGACGCCTGGGATGGACGGCCTCTCCTGCCTGGCTGTCAGGCCCTGAGGATCTCTAGGGGAGGTGCCACCTGATGAAGTTCCAGGGCCCCAGAGATGCTTCTTTGTGGTCGTGACAGCCAGACAAGGGATACCTGGCATACCCTGCATGCTTTTGGAATCATCAAAAAGAAAGCCTCTGAAGGTTAGTGAATTAAAATCCAATTACGGAATTTTGAGTTCATTTTGCTGTTTGCTGTTTGGGACTAGCCACTTTGTTACTGAGAAGGATACTGGACATATCTTAACTCCTCCGATAGGTTCTCAGCCAGACATTGATTGAGAGTTTTGGGGCGTGGGTGCCAGGAGTGCTTCCACATCCATTAGGGAAGTTGAGTATTGTTTCAGTTATCTGCTCAGCTTCCATTTGGGCTAGTCTACTGAGAGACTGAGAGTACAGATGTTTGTCTGTCTTGGCATAATTATCTGTTCATTAACTGGTCAATAAAAATAAGTGTAAGAGTCTGTGTAAAAGCAGAAGCTTCTTTGATTTATTATGCACTTTTGTTGATTCGTCTGGCTAAAACATTTGATTTATTTAAGGCTGGGTGCTCTGGTGGACTGCAAAACTCCCCAAGTAGCTGCTGAGGATCTCCTTTTTCTCAGGTTTTTTTTGCTCTCTGTCAGAGAAGAATCAGGCCATTTAGACAGGTGATTTTACTGTATTAGGTTAATATTTTGGAATTCTGGGGTAGACTTAAAGGTATCAATTTGTGAAAGGATTTCGTTCAGAGAAAACAAAGGCCAGCTAGGTTCTAATATTGCTTGTAAGAAAAGCAATAGAGAAGTCTTTTCAAGTTAACTATTTGCAATAAAGTAGTAAAATTCAAAGAACAAAGAACTTGTTATTTATGGCTTGTCTTATCTCTTTTGGTGGATGGCTTGTCTTATCTCTTTTCCGGGGCAGAGCTTGCCAAAAACTCCCACAGGTTGATGAGATTCTGCCTGTGACAGTGTGGTCCCACTCGAGCCACCTGAGGCAGATCTAATGCTGAAGTAGGAGGTTTCTGGCTGAGCCTAGAAAAATAAATTGTGGGAAATCAAAAAGAAGGGAATCCAACTAGTGTTATTATAAACGACTATATGGATCCATTAACCCTGATTGTGTGTCTTATGTGGTCTGTTGTCTTTGTGGTTGTCTGTTTTGTTTGATTTGCCACTTTTAGTTATTTATTAGGATCTTCAGAGAGGACATAACCTAGTCTTCCCTTCCTCCCTCACTCCTGATCTTGACAGCATCTGTAATTGGATTAAATATATTTTCTTTCAGAAGGGCCTCCAGGCTTTCAGTCCATAAGAAATCTCCCAACACACTCTTATCCTCATTCGCTATTTTTCCTGTCCCACTAAGAGTCACTTTTTTCCATGGGTCACTCCCAGCCTCGAGGGGACTGCTCCAGCAATGGCCTATGGTTTTCTCCGAAACTCCAGCTGTTACTATTTTTTTCTCTCTGTGGGAATTGTCTCTGTTTCACAATGGGAGGGGGCGGCCTCCCATTGTGAAACAGAGTCAAACCTTCACTAAAATGCCTTAACTTGTATTCCAAGGGGTTTTTGGCATTTTAGTGAAGGTTTCTCAGAGGATGAATATGGCATAAAGCTCTCAAAAAAAAGTTATAAACCTATGCAAGTCAGAATGGCCCAAATTCAGGGTGGGCTGGATAGACACAGGGTATCTTGATTCCAGATGTGTGAAAGCAGTTTCGAGGAAAGTGGCAGGAGATCCCGGACATCCAGATCAATTTCCTTACATAGATAAGTGGTTAGATTTAGTTCAGAATCCCCCACCATGGATAGAGTTGTGCCTTACAAATCAGGGTGTGGGTATTATAATAGTTACTGGTCCCAGAGAGGCACTGCGAAGGGAATTGCCAGAAGGGGGATATCTTCCAAGTCTTCGGTGATTCCCCTGGGATCAGAGGAAGCATACCTCCCTCCACCTTATAATCCCTTAATACCATAGTCACAGTCCTTGCCTATATCACAACTTCCTCTGTCACAAAGAGGAAAAATCTGGGAGGGAAAGCAACTGTTACAGGAGAAAAAAAAAAAAAAATGTACCCTTACATGTAAAAAGCCTACGTGTACAAAATCTCAGACCACTTGACGTGTTTCCCCTGCTAGGATGAAGCAAATAGTTAATGCAGAGGGGAGGGGATGTTGGAGGGGAGAGCAGGGAGACATAAGATTTTATTGATTTTGCTGGTTGCAGGCCACTCTGCTGGCACCCTTGGTTTCTCACTTATCTGAGTTGTGCTAGATCAAGGCCGCTGTCTCCGCCAGGAAAGAGGACAGGTGTGAAGCAAGGGCCTGAAGCCCAAGCCACCACTGCAGGAGCGCTTTGCTATGTGCAAACCATCTCTCCCTGCAGCTCTGGCTGTGTTTGGCTTGCCACTAGGAATCAAGCAGTGATGAGAGACAGGGATGGCAAGGCCTTGTAACTGATAAACAGGAGAGAATAAAGGAAAAGCACTTTCCATGCACCGGAAAGCCTTCAGGACTTTCAGAAGCTCCTATAGAGAAGGAGTCTGAGGGACTAGCTGAGAACCCGTAGGGTTTGGAGTACTGGAGGCTGCATATTGAACTTAGTGACTGTTGTTTGCTAGACAGAGGTCCAAGCCCAGTAGTATAGGGGTGCCAATGTATAACAACTTTCTCCCATGCCAGAATGCATTTTAGGGAAATTGGACAGACTGTGTCTGTGGCTAGAAACAGAAAATGGCCACCATACACAGCCCTGACAGTGGCCTGCAGAAAACTGTATAACAGACTTAGATGATGCCTGCATTGTCATGGACATGATTCCAGAGAGACAAGGACAGTGTTGCTTTGTGTGAAAGGGTTAAAATAGACTTTTGTCACCTCCCTAAGATGTTTGACTATCCCTACAATGTGTTATGTTTGGTAGCAGAAGATTTAGCTATAAGAAGCAGCTGCAGTGCTAATGTTATACTTCATTATCCTACCTAATAAAAGAGTATGCAAATTAACCATCAATCCACTACACCCACAAGCCAAGCCCACCAGCCAATAAGAGCGAGTATGCAAATTAACCCCAACCAAGATGGCTGCAACCACAGAGAGCAGTTGAGAGGCTTGGGCAATAGAGGAAGCCAGGTTTTCCACACATCCTGGCTGGCCTAGGCCTCCACTCAAGGTTACAAAGTTTCAATTATAGAAGATAAATCCCAAGAAAAATGGCAGCAGTCACAGAGCTGGAGAGAACAGGCTAGGGTTGCTTCTAGCAACAGAGAAAGCCAAGTTTTCCCTGCCCTGGCTGGCCTAGGCTTCTACTCCAGGCTACAAAGTTTCAATTATAGAAGGTAAATAAATTCCAGATACCAGGGCCTTTGCTTAGGTTGCTGGGGGGTGTGACTGGCTTGCAAACCACCACAGGCCCCTCTCCCAGGCTGCCCCACACCCCAGGGGAACCCCTACCCTGAT